AACCAAAAATAATCTATTACAATCCATTTATAATAAATAGAAAACTAACGTCACCATATGTAAAATAGGTCAATTAATAAAAGCTACTATATAATACGATGAATCTTTACTTTTAAGGGTTTATATGAATATGTTTTATTTTCTTTTTTTGCTTTCATTGAAAAACCACAATAAATAACCTTGAAAAAATTAACTTTCACTCTACTTGCCTCATATTTTCTCACCAGGACACATTATTCATGATGATATAAACAAAAACATTTCTGCTGTTATGCTTACTCATTGTCTGACTCATCGATTGGTTAGTATGTGTGCAGTTTGTAGTTGTTTTCATGGTTATTATTGCGTTCTTTATTGTGACATGCAAACATTCATCAATTTTTTTCTTTTTACTCTCCAATTTCTTTTTTCACCAACATTTTTGCAATACATCGAGTATTTCAATCGTCAATAATATTATTCTTCGGCATTTCTTATTTCTCTTCACTTCAATCATTTCGACGAATCAAATTGAAAGGTAGATGTTGTTAAGTATAAAAAAAAAATGTGGAGTAACACATAAAAAAACACATTGCGTTTTAATTTTACCTTGTTGTATCGTTCTTTGAATAGAAACGAAACAGTCTTGTAGAAAATTTACATGTGCATGTCCATGTCATCATCATCATCATTGACGCCAGAACTACTTCGACTTTCATCAACACCACTTTCACCATTAGAATATTTTACCGATTCATCAAATACGGTCAATATCAAATCTGATGTTGTTTTAATAGTTGGTGAAAAAAAATTTTATTGTCATCGTTTATTATTAACATTAGTTTCACCTGTATTTGTACGCATGTTTGACGGTCCATTTAAAGAACATAATGAACAAGAAATAGTTCTCGAAGGAAAATCAAGTGAAAGTATACTTGATCTATTAAAATATATTTATCCACAATTTAATGGTCAGATTACAAATAATAATATTGAAGCTTTCCTTCAATTAGCTGATGAATATATGATTGAACATCTTAAACAACCATGTAAAAATTTTTTACTTCAACAACTTGAATCATTTAAATTTGTTGTATTACCAACACATAAAAAACTTGAACAAGTATTCATTATATTTTTCTTTTCGTTATTCTATGTTTTCTTTATATTAATTTCATAGTCATCTGCTAAATCAAAAAATTTTCATGCAAGTGATTCAGCATTGAATTCACCACGGAGTAATGAAGATAATTCATCAGAACAAGGAAATTCAAATTATCCTCGTTCACCACCTCGAACAGGTTTACGTTCTCGAAATCTTACTACAAAACCCAGTTCATCGTATCTTAAACCAGGCAATAAAACTGGATCATCAAACAATCCATCTCATTATGTACATCTTCTTGATAAAACTCAAATGCCTAATTTCTATGATGTACATAACACACAAGTTCCATTTAGTAATAACGAACTTGAAATATGGCTTCGTCGCTTACGTATTCTTTATCAAATTGATAAAGGACGAAATTATGGTGAAATTATTGATTATATTTTAAGTATTCTTCAATTTATACCTGCTACTTTAATTTTATCTCATGTACATATTACAAATGATACTTATACAACAGATGAGATTATGCTGAATGATTTAGCACGTGCACGTATGTTTGCTCTTGAAGAATGGGCTGCTGATGGTGATCCACATCGTTCAGTAAGTTTAACAGAATCCTATCGAACAATGTCTCCTAATGCTTTAATTATTGCTCAACAAGCAACAACTACTACAACAGAAATAATTACTAATGAAGAAAATTCTTTTCAACCAACTATAATTACAATGTCCGATAATGAAGAAGTTCCAACAATTGTTTTAGATAATGTTGACTGAATCTTTTCTTTACATCGATTATTTAAAATCAAATACAAATCTCATGCGAAACTCAGCGCATGTTACTTTTTCTCATCAGCAGTAATCTGAATCGATATTTTTATGTTTTATGTTTTTGTCGAATTTCGAATAAAATTCACACTATAATGTTAACCAAAATTTGAAATAATGTATTTGCGTGACCTCTATTATAAAAATTCTCAAAACATATTCATGTAGTTGACCAATCATAATTTTTCTAGCAGTTATGTTACCTCCCTCTTTTTCTTAAACATTTTTCGTTTATTGTCATCATCTTTTTTTATAATTCAACAGAACAACAACATCAACAACTACATTTATCTTTCCAAAATTAAAATCTCTGTTAAAATACAATATCAATTCATATGTCTTTGATTAATTTTAAAAGTATTGTCTCTTGTTCAAGTGAAGATCGAGTTAGTTCGAATCAATAATCATTTTTTGTTTTGTTTCAATGAATTATTTTTTCAATCTAGATTCACTGTGCTAAAAATTTACTTGAACCAGAACAATATAAAAAATGGTTATCATCTAAAGGTACTGAAGAACGTATAATATGTATTCTTGAATTTGAAAAACCTTGTTTGATATCATCTGTTGATATTGGTAATAATGGTAGTGCATTTATTGAATTATTAGTTTCTCAATCATCATCATCAAACCCTGATGATTGGACTGTTCTTTTACCTTCAACAGTTTTCATGACTCCAAATGAATCACGTTCAAATAAAAATCGTAACAAAACTAAAGCTTTCAAATCTCATCTTTTAAATAAAACATGTTTAAATGAAGAATGGGATCGATTAAAAATAATATGTGAACAAAAATTTAATCGTTCAAATCAATTTGGTTTAAGTTTTATTAAACTATATTCAACAATTGAGGATAATCAACAAACAGAAATATGTAATAAATCTTTAACTGATGTTGTTGATGAAGATGAAATGAAAAAAGAAGAAAACCAAACAGGAAAAAAATTTAAATCAATATCTAATGATGATGATGATAAACATGTTTCTGATGAATTATCAAATAAAAAGTTAATAAATGATAATCCAAACAAAAAATTAAAAAAAAAAGATGTTAAAGTAAAACAAATATGTTTCATTTAAAAAGTTTTTTTCTTTTATCTTTCAGAATGATAAATCACAAATAATGAAAACTGTTGTTTTTGTTTTAAGTGGTTTTCAAAATCCCTTACGATCAGAATTACGTAATAAAGCAACAGCAATGGGTGCTACTTATAATGATGATTGGAATGAGAATTGTACACATCTTATGTATGTTTAGATAACTTAATTAGTTCAATAGAAACAACAAAAGTCTTTTAAACACCGCTCTTCCTTTTTTTTTTAAACTTTCAAAAAAATTGCTTTCCTTTTATTATCAAACTAATGTGTAAAATATGGATCGAAATCGTAAATGGCTATTTTCATCATTCTTTATCACAGTTATAAAATTATATTTCGAATTACATTGGGTGTGAAGCAAAGATCATACGGCATTAACTTGCTAGATGAGAACAAAATGAAGATTAGTCTAATTTACTGAGACCTGATCAATCACGTGTTATATGAAAGAAAACGGATATAATGATTGTTACTATTGTCAAACATGAGTTGAACACATTACAACAAACGAAGTTTCTAAAATTTTAAAAAACGACATCGTGAAGATTGACCATCAAATTCAGGTTCTATTTTGATCCTATTCATCATCAGACCAAAACCCAATTTGAAAACTTTTGTATAGTGAGAAAGAATCTGACATCATATTAAAATAAAATACCTTTGTTGTACTTTAGTTCGATAATAGCAAAAAAAAGGCAAATATTAAAAATTTTTTTTATAATAAGAAAGAAAGAGAGATTTCTTCTTAATGATGTACGTAAATTTTTTAATTTTAGTTGTGCATTTCAAAATACACCAAAATTTACACAAGTACAACAAACAGGAAAAGGTTTTATTGTTAATAAACAATGGATCATTGATTGTTATAAAAAAAATGAATTATTACATGAAGAATCTTATGAATTAAAAGAACTAAATGATAATGAAACAAAACAACAAACACCCAAAAGAAAATCAAGAACAAGAAAAAGAAAAACACAAAATGAAGACGATACTACTGTTTCAAAAGATGTTAAAAAAAGAACTCCTGTGAAAAGAAAGTCTACAACAACTAAAGATCAGACAAATAAGAAACAATTCGATGAAATACCAGATTTTTTTCATGGAAAACATTTTTATGTATCCTATGGTGATTATGATGATAATACACTTCTCGATATAACTCGAGTTATTCTTGCTTATGATGGAATTTTGGAAGGACACGTTACTTCAGATGTTAAATACGTTATTACAAATCGAATGTGGAATCAAGATTTTGCAAAGGTTTACATAAGTTTTACTGTTTATAGTTGTTAAAAAATAGTATTGAATTAGAACTCTTTATTAAGTATATCATAGATGGTGCCCTGTAAAGCTCACGATCACTGGTACAGAAGTCGTCATATATTCGACGTTGGTGTTAGTTGCCTTCGTTTCTTTTTCCGACACAAATAATTCGATATTCTTAAATTTTTGACTCGCGACAAACTAGAAACTGACATAAGAAAACTTTTAAAAATAAATCTCTAGGAATAAAAAATACATGAATATCTGCGATTGTAGTAGTAGAAGAAAGATTGAACTAATTTTTTTCCTAAAATGTTAGAAAAATCTCATATGGTTTTGCAAATTTTCTTGAAATCCTATTCTCAAACATAAGATCGATCTAGTTATTAGTATAGTCATAAAATGTTGAAATGAATAAAGTCAACATCATCGTTCTCATTATATTTTTTCTTTATATATTTAGATTTCAAAATCAAATCCAGATATAAATTTTCTTAATCTTGATTGGTTACAAGATTGTCATGATGCAAATCAATTTGTACCAATACAACCATATTTAATTGTTCCTTAGAGTGAACATAATGTATTTCTTTTTTAACCAATGCAGATAAACAATAAAATGAATAATGTCCTTTTTTTTTTTTTTCATTCTTTTTATTGTTCAATTTATTGTGATATAGGAATAAAATCCTCTTGAATTTTAGATAAGAAATAAAATGACTGAAGCAATGATTATTGATCAATCAAGTACGACAATGATCGGTAAGTTTATTTGTTTTAATTTTGCTTTTATTTCTATTATATTTATTTATATTGTATTAAAATTTCGTTTATTAATTAAACAAAAAACTCGGTTTTGTTTTTTCTCTTTTCTTGTCCATGTTGCAGAGGAACATTTATCAATTGTGTGAGTTGCGTCGATCTTCATTCAATCATCGACGACCAAAAAATAAAAGAAAATTAAATATATCAGACAGAATTTAATCAGAAAACATGTTTTATTTTGATCTTTTCTTTCTCCCTATTTTAGGTACCCAGCAAGAATCTACTTATCATTAAAAAAAAAACGAATCTTTTCTTCTTTTTTTTTTTTTTTGTTTTTAACATATTCGTTGTTTTTTTCTCTTTCTCTCTATCCCTTTTTCAGCTACAATATTCAAACATCTTATTCGTATGCCTGATCGTCTAAAATTATTTATTCTAAAAGTTCGTATATAAAAAAAAAATATATTTCTTTTTATTTTATAGAAAATACTAATGAATCTCAAACAATAAATGGTATTGAAAAGAAAAAATATGCTATACAAAATATTCCACGTTTACCACGTGAACTTACACCATTTGCACCATTTACAGCTGTTATTGAACTTGATCAACGTGGTCCATTATTTAAAGGACCAGGAGCAAAACGTGATACAGGACGTTATAAAGTTCGATTATCAGATGATGAAAGTGTTAAACGTGCAAAAAAATATGCTTTGGAACAAAGTGTTAAATATGTTCTTGTGAAACAACAACAACAACAACAACGTGTCCAATTAGATAATATTAAAAAACAACAAGCACTTTTATTAATGTGTCGGTAAGAAATTAGGACAAAAAATAAACATTTCTGAAACATAAAAGACGATATCGAGTTTTTGCTTTTTTTTTTTTTGTGAAACATGATTGAAGAACGCTTATCTATCTTTCTATAATTAACAAGAGCAGCTTCACCGTGTTTCACATTTTAGTCTTGAAAGAAATAGTACTAACAGGTTTTTCTTTTTCATGTAGAATTTATATTGGAAGTATTAATTTTGAGTTAAATGAAGCAATGCTCAAACAAGCATTTCAACCGTTTGGTCCAGTTAAAGCTGTTTCATTAACATTTGATCCTGTTACTAATCGTCATAAAGGTTTTGCTTTTCTTGAATATGAAATACCAGAAGCAGCACAATTATCGATTGAACAAATGAATGGAGTCATTCTTGGTGGAAGAAATATTAAAGTAAAGAAAACGAAAATAGAGAAAAAAGAAGTATTAATAAATAATTTAATCTTTTGTTTTGAAACAGGTTGGTAGACCATCGAATATGCCACAAGCACAACCAATTATTGATCAATTAACTGAAGAAGCGAAAAATTATAATCGAATTTATATAGCTTCAATTCATCCGGATTTAACTGAAAATGAAATTCAAAGTGTTTTTGAAGCTTTTGGTAAGAAAATAAGAAAAAAAAAAACATACAAGGATTTATTCAATAATAATATCTTTTTTTTTTATAGGTAAAATTAAAAGTTGTACTGTAGCAAAAGATCCAGCAACAAATAAACATAAGTAAAATATAATTTTTAATGTAATTATTAAATGTTTTCATGTATGCATTTCTGTTTTTTAGAGGTTATGGTTTTATTGAATATGAAACAGTCCAAGCAGCACAAGATGCAATTAATTCAATGAATTTATTTGATCTTGGTGGTAGGTTTTTGTGTTGTTCTTTTGAAAGAAAATTTCTCTCTTTCTAGGACAATATCTTCGAGTTGGAAAAGCAATAACACCTCCTGAGGGTTTGCTAGCTTCAACACCAGCAGCCGCAGCTTCAATGCCAACAGCTACTGCATTAGCTGTTGCTACAATTACAGCTCAACTACAGGCTAAAGATGTTGAAACAAATTCACAACCCACTATAGTATGTTTATTTCATAAATATTTCATGTTATCATAATGATTTATGAATATTTGGACAAAGAGGTTGTACCGTTAGCTTATTGCTGCAGAGATATTGTAAAAATGTGGTGTCTACAGTTTAATATGCCAAGATCACAAGATCTTTGCTTTCATAAGAAGAACAACTACATTGATTGACTGATGTTCTCAGTGTGCTGTACTAAATATTTCCAACGTTTATCTAAAAGAACATAGTTTGATAGCTTGTAATGAATGTATAATATTGCAATAAATTTAACTGAAGTCCGAATGAATCCAGATAGTCCACAAGTGTTCACGTGCACTTTTACATGATCTATTTCCATAAATAATGGTAGAGTACAATTGTTGAAAATTATCAACATAGTTTGCTAGAGAATTTTCAGGAAATGAACAGTTTCAACTGATACTGTGTGCATTTAATAGTATGATGAAACTGGCTTAGGTCTACACGAACGCCGATGGTCATATCCAAGTTAATGACACATTGAATTCTAACTAGAAATATGCCGCTTCAAGTCCTTATTCTGCTTTTTGAGATTGTCACATTGCTAATATATTCTCTCATCAGTAAAGAAAATAGTTTGCTCATAAATAATGTCATACCAGACTCAAAATTTTTCTGATTTCATGTATTTCTATTCTAAACTCTATTTTTATTATTATTTTTTCGGCTACTTCACATATAATCAATAATCCATTAGCACAAGTAGGATTTATTGGTGGTCCTATTGCACCAACAACTGTTGCTGCTGCTCTTTCAGCTGCTTCATATTCTGGTGCAACAGCTGTTACATCAAGTAAACAAATTATTTTTATAGAATATTAAGTTTATAATTCTTTAAATTTATTTTTAGTGATTTCTACTATACTCAATCCGACTACTTCTATAACAAATCCGATTCCTCAACCTGCCACTGTTGGTTCGCCTGGAGTTCGTTCAAAGTAAATCTTCTATAAAATTTAAACTTTTTTTATGTTTTTTTTTTTTTTTTGTTTATTTATAGTTTTATTACACCACCTGTATCAAATGTTACCACTTCACCATCACTACAACAAATACCTGTTCCACCTTCGCAAGGTAAATTTTTTTTTACTATTTTAATTTACACAAAAAAAATGAATCTCATAAATTGATATATGTTTAGTTATTATTCCACCACCACCATCGACATTGATTCCACAACCAACTATGCTTGAAGAACCACCTGTTCCTGTTGGATTAAAACCTGATTTAGAACCAAAACAACAATATCCATCAATTTCACTTGTTTTACCAACAAATAAATCAGAAACAACTGACAATCAAAAAACTGCTTTAGATTTAAATCTTGCTGAAGATTCAACAGCGCCTTTATCTCAGCAAGAAGAATTTAGTGTTAAAGGTATATTAATTTCTATAACCGCTAAACAATAAAAAACAAAGAAACGAAATCTCGTTTTTTGTTGATATTAGGTCGTGAACAAAGACATTTATTAATGCAAAAATTAAATCAACGTCGACTTGAATCACGTGTATGTGTACTAAGAAATATGGTTGGTCCAGAAGATGTTGATGATGATTTACAACAAGAAATAACAGGTTAGAATTTATTTGTTTTTATTTTTGAAAATTTTCTTTTATTCTTGTAGAAGAATGTTCGAAATACGGTGAAGTTATTAAAGTTGTTATTTATACTGAACAACAAGGAGAAGATGATAATGCAGAACAAATTGTCAAAATTTTTGTTGAATTTCAAACAAATAAACGTAAGTGTTATATTTTTTTATTTAATTGATAAGTTTATATGAAAAGTTTTTTTATATTTTCTTTTGTAGAAGCAGAAAAAACGGTTCAATCACTTAATAATCGATATTTTGCTGGTCGAATGATAAAAGCTGAATTATATGACCAAACAGCATATCAAGCTGAGGATCTATCGGGTTAAAAGGACACTAATTCTTTTTTTTTCTGTATATGCTTCTTTTTCTTTTTTTTTTTTGTTATATAACAAATAAAAAAAACCACACGTATAGATAATTCATATAAAATTCTTTTGATTTTTTTCCTCTTAAACTGCAGATAAAAAAAAAGAAAAGAAAGACTATGAGATTATCTCCGATAGTACGTTTTCTATCATCAAATGGATTTTATGTTCATATTAAAAATAAAACTCCCGATTGGCAACCATTGTTAAGTCAAGGTGAAAAAATTATTGGTTATCCATCATCATTACATTCATTAGTTAATCTTAAATATTTATTTAATGAAGAAGTATCAACATTAATTGGTTATTTAAGAAAATTAGTTGGTACACAACATCCATTACTTAAACTTGCTACAAATATGTTAGAAAGTCCACCGAAGGCAGCACATTCAAGATCAGTTTTACTTTTATTAATATCAAAAGCAGCAGGAATTCCACAAAAAACTTATCAAGAAGATATGGTTCAACATGGAATTCATCAACATCAAAGACAATTAGCTGAATTAATTGAAATGAGTAATGATTGAATATTTTATATGATTCAGTTTCATTTTGTTGACAAATTTTTTTTTCCATATCTGAAACCATCTACTCTTATGCGTTTTGATCCTCATCTATAAAACGTTAGTACCGATTCACTTTTACAATTCCCTATACTTTCTAAAAATAAATGAATATTCATTATATGATTAATCGATTGAACCTCAATTTGTCGACCCAAACGCTCAATTATTAGATTACGATCGATTCAAGAAAGAAAAAGTTGTCGATGATACGGAACGATGCCCTTTAAATGAATTTTGACCTACATCCTGATTACTGACTCTTATTGTTGCCGATGGACGAAAAGTATTCACAAAATAGAATCGCGAGGGAGAGAGACGAAGATGATCTATTATAGAATCAAAACCAGGTATCAGAGGTGGGATCGGTTGGCATTTTTGCCAAACCGAACCGATCGTCACCGGAAAAATCTCTAACCGAACCGAACGTAACCGACCGAATTTTTTAAAATTTCTAACCGAACCGACCGTAATCGAAAAAATCTCTAACCGAACCGAATGTAACCGACCGAATATTTAAAAATTTCTAACCGAACCGACTATAACCGACCGAATTTCAAAAATTTCGTAATCGAACAGAGTTTAGAGAAAGCGAAGTTTAGCTTATGTTAATTAGGGTATTAGTGCTTTATAAATTAGCAACAACAAATCGAACAGTAGCAACTATGAGCAATCAACATCTAGAGAAAGTAACGAAGAAAGATTATTTATTGAATCCTCTTACTGTATTATAACTTTCTTACCTCTCACAACAAATTTAAAAAACATGTGAGATAATACGAGTTACGAACAACAGCTATTTGTTGTACGATTACACTCTTTTTTCTTCTTATGTCTCAAAAAGTCCATCGAACTCAAATCAAAAGATTATGTCGATTCTTTCTAACCGAACCGATCGTAACCGAAAAAATCCCTAACCGAACCGAACGTAACCGACCGAATTTTTTAAAAATCTCGAATCGAACCGATTTCGGTTACGGTCGGTCGGTTCGGTTCGGTTAAAAACCGAACCGGTCCCATCTCTGCCAGGTATATAATGCAGAAAAGTTACTAATGAATCATATTGGAACATCTAATTTTTATTAAGTTCATCAGAACAATTCTCCTTGTTAGTTGTGTCGAATATCTTGATTGAGTATCGTTCTACATGGTTTCTAGTTGAATTCTAATTGCATCAAATAAATTGCTAAATAATTTTTGTAGTTTCTTCAATAATATTACAAAATGCTTCATGAATTTTTCTTGAATTGAGTTACCTATATTGATCATCTTATAATATCAATTTTTACTTGTTTTCATAATGTGAATATTTTTTTAAAATTATCTTGTTTGTTTTAGTTCATTTAGGTATTCTTGGTCATCGAGGTAATGAAAATAATATAATATGAAGAAAAGAAAATTATATTTCTTTGTCTAGGTATTGTGGATTTAAAAGATCATCAAAGTGATTTAGAACAAGGAAATAAAATAGCAGTCTTAGGTGGAGATTATCTCTTATCACAAGCTTGTGGTAAATTAGCTGAATTTCGAAAACCTCCAGTAAAAAAACTATATTTTATTTACTTAAATCATTATTATTTAAAAGTTTTTATTAGGTTGTAGAAACTATTGGTAATGCAATTGCAGATATGTGCAAAGCAGAATTTTTTTTAAAAGATAAACAATCACTTACATCATTAACAGAATGGTATCAACTAACTGCACTGTAAGCATTTGATAGAACAATATCTTAGTGTTAGAGCATGGATGTGGGTCTTCTATTCCCCCACGCTTACTGTACATATTATTAATAATGCATTTAAGTAAAATTTTTTTTCGATTCATATTAATATCATTGATCAACATACATATTAAAATTAATATCTCAAAAGAATATGCTTGATCATTTTTCTTGTAAATATAATCAATAAGCTTTTATGGGCAATAAAAAAAAGTGTCAGTCTATTTCAGGGAAAATGATGACGCAAAAAAACACTCACTTTTCTTTCTAACTAGATAACTATTGAGCTACTCTTTATTTAATCTGAATAGATTAATCAGTAATCGAACCAACCTCATTTATATATTTGTTTCTTCCTCTAAACCTAATTAATTAAATAAATAAATATGGAAAATCAGTTAAAACTTCATTAAGTTTCTTTCTTATCTATGCCATAATTTTCTACAAAATTTGATATAAAATAATATTCTTTGACATCATAATCCATAGGATGCTAATTACTCTCATTATTATGATTTATTTCAGTTCTGTAGCAAATTTGGTTGCATCAGGTTGTCGTGCTTCTCTTCAATTAGTGGATCATTTACCATCATTTCAAGATCAAGCATATTATTTATGTCGACATATTATATTTTCATGTATGATGTATAATGATATATCTCAATATTCATCATCATTTGCAAATGATTCATCTTCTTTAACACTTTATGGAACTGTACCTATGAATCGTTCATTTCCATATTCAATAATGAATAAATCAAATAATGAGAATGTAACTTTTGAACAATTAAATAATAAAGAATTACTTGATCAATGTCGTGAACAATGTTTAAAAGAAAGTAATAAAGCAATAGAATTACTTCAAACAAATTTTGATCAAAAATCATCAGCAACAATACTTCTACGTTCAATTATTAAACAAATTCAAGATGGTCTTTTTTCAAAAAAAGTTATTTAAATTTTGTTTGTTTGTTTGTTTTTATTTTTGTTTTTTGTTTCAAATAAAAAAAAACTCAATAGTTTGGATTATATATAAATGTTTGAAATTTTTTCATTTGTATCTTCATTACCATAAACAGGTGTGATTGAACGTACAGATTTATAAGCATTATTATTATTTAATAATTGAATAGAAGTTTTTGTTGCTTCTCTTTGTTCATCATTTAATTCAAAATTTTCATCATCATCATCATAATCAGTTAAACGACTTTGAACATGAATTATATTTGTTGGTGTTAGATTTTGTTGGTTTCGTACTGCCGATAGACGTGCTTCAATTTTTTCTCGATGTTTTTGTTCAACACGTTGACGACTAAAGAAAAACAAAAACAACAAAAAAAAAAAAAAGCTGTCAGAATAATCTCTGTGAAGTTGAAATGTGAAAATCGATATATATATATATGTTATCTATACACTTCAAGACTTTATTTAGATTGTGAGCCATAAAAATTTAAAGTTATAAAAATGAAATTGATTATACTTACGCTAAATTTGCTTCATGAGCTTGATCAATTATTTGACCAACTTCAATTATATTTTGAGTTTTAATTTTTTTTTCATTCATTTTTGTACGTAATAAATTATGTTGTCTTTCTTTTTCATGTTCTAATTTAACGTCCATACCACCCATTTTGTCTATTATGTCTGATGTTTGCTATATAGAAGAAAAAGAAGAATTGTTTCGATTTTTTTTTTTTTGTATTTCATAAAATTTCAATACTTTTTCAAGAATATCCGAAGATAAATCAACATTTTTTCGATTTTCTTCTGCACGTTTTCGTCGTTCACGTCGACGTATATATTTAATAACGGCAGCTTTATCTGATGGATGTTGTTGTTGATTTTGATCCGTTGTAAGAAGTGCTTCAAAATATGCTTGATATGTTGCATTCATACCTGAATTTGGACGAAGATCAGCAAGACCATGAATATCATGTTTTTGTCGTAAAAAAATTGAAATTGGTATTGAATTTTCTTTAAGAAGAGAAAAAAAGCAAAAAGAATAATGAACATTTTTATCTTTCTTTTTTACCTTTTCGTCTTTGTATTGCTAATTCTTTATTTCTTGTAATTTCTTCAAGTTGTTTTTTGTATTGTTCTTGTTCACGTTGAAATTCTTCATATGAACTTCTTAACATATCTCGACTTTCATCCAATGTAGTCATCATATTTCTACTATCTTCATTTTTAATTGCTTCAAATGCATGTAAAATAAGTTCCTACAAAAATTTGTTTATATATATATGTAAAATGCATCATATTCCGTTAGTCTTACTTGACTTTGTGGAGTTAAAGTTGCTAAATTTGATGTAGATATTTTTCTACGATCAATACTTTGTGCACGTTTATCATTTACATTTATAAATTGACGAAATTTTGTTGCTGAATTTTCTTTTCTTTGCTGTTGTTGTTGTTGTTGAAGATATATTTCAGTTGTAGACGATGCAGATAAACTATTTCGATCTTGCATTGGTGATGAATATCCATTAGAGTTCATTCTCTCTTCACATGCAATAAAAACTTTTGCGTTTAATTTGAGTAATATAAGAAAAAGAGAAATATTTAAAAATGTGGTGTAATTAAAAAAAGAGACGAGCTATTACAGACAAAAAAAAAAGGAAAATGACAGGAAAAGGCGAGAAAATGCGTAGGGGCAAAATAGAAGTTCAATTTTTTCAAGTGTCGATTTCTTTTTTTCTTTTTTTTACCCATTGTCTTGTTTAATTGAACATGAATGAAACAATATCACTACAAATTTCCTTCAAATAGAAACAACAAGTATTCTATTGAAAATAAACTTACAAAGTAGACATGTAAATTTTCGACTTCAGTCATCAAGCAATACAATTTTTCAACAGTTCAAGCCTAAGGATATAATTAAAACACGACACTACTGTGTGTTTAGAACTTTTAATTTATTATTTTCTTTTTTAATTTTAATGCAATTACTGCTACTTTTTCTGAGAATTGTAAAATGAACTTTATCAAAAATATCACTATCACATACTGCATACCAACTGCAAAATAACATGAAACAACAATTGTTCATGATGACATGTAAGATGAATTTAAAATGTTATTTACTTTGAAAAAAAGGCCAATAGTTTCCTTTTAACAGATAGGCTGAAAGCTTTGATTGCTGTGAAAGTGTCAGTAGTGTTCGAGTACAGCAGTGAGGTAATTGGAACGGAATATATGCACCAAAATTTCTCGTGCAAATATTTGCTCATTTTGATCCACCTAAAAGTATCTCAGACAAGTTAAAAACTGTGACATATCGTCTAATGAACTGCACATAAGTTACAAAAGATTATGTAGAAAAGTCAGATTCAATAGAAAATTAAAAAAAGCATCTTTGAGGATGTTTCGGTTTTTGCATTGTCAAGACAATTTCGATTGGAAAAAAATGTATTGAATAGAAACTGACGAATTATTTTTACTTGTAATAAAAATCCAAAGTGTTTACATAATGCATCATTAACAATGACAAAAAAAGAAATATTTTTTTTTTGAAGTAAACTAATGAACATTCAAGTGATTTGAAAGGTTGGAAGGAGTTGTTTATTTCTTGTTGAATAATCGGCAGCTTAGATAGCAAGCAATAGTAAAAATATGATTACAATTTAACTTTTTATTGTTACTGCAAAACTGATGTTATATCAAAGCAAGAAAAATTAATATTGAATTTTCTTCACAACAAAAAAAAATTAAAGTTAATTTGACATGTCATTACGGAGAAATTTAACAACTTTCTGATGAAAATTTTTCTATGGCAATTAAAATTTAGTAATTAGTAATATTATTCTATGTCTTCATAATATTAATTTTTTAACTAAAATAAAATTTAATTGATCTATTGATTAATTTTGTTTTTCTTAATTTCTATTTTTAAACTTTAAAAAACAATCTAAAATTCATCAAACAACTGTGTTTAATTTTCAAGGAATAAATCATAGATAACAATTAAATGAAAGTATTGAATTTCTTGTTAAAATTTTCAATAAGAAAAAAAAATTTGAAAATGATACTTCTTATAAACTTGGTATTCAATCGCTATGAACAGGTGAGAAAGAACTGGTTATGTCATACAATAAATGAAGGAAGAAAAAACGTACAAATAAAAGAAAACAAATGAATAAAATCTCGTTCTCCTTTACCGTGTTATCGGACACAAGCTAAATTAAACGGAATAAAAATGTTGAGTGCCAATAAAGAAAAAAAAAAGAGAACAGTCTCTTTTTTTTTATTGTATTTATAATAAAGTACATGATATAAACACAATATAAAGACTTAAAATGACTGTTTTTTTTACATGATCACAAGCACATACAAAAAGGCATAATGAATGATTATCGTAATTCGATTACTTTCGTTTATGTAATCACCTATTGAAGTGTGTATGACATTTTTCTTTTGTTCATATTCATAGGTAGTTAATATTCATATATAACCACGCTCATTCATTGACTTAAGTATGTTGGAAATAAGTCGTATTTATCTTAGCACTGGTTTACTACTGGCTATTTTCACATTAATATTTCATATAATTGCAATGGAATATCCACGATGGAAGTAAGTTTTCTTCCTAAATCAATTTATAAAACATTTTTATCTTATGTCATTGAACCGTTTAAGTAGAAAATTATGTTCTGTACATATACTGTACAAAGAAAATCAATTTCGATTTGACCCTACCAACAATTATTTTGATATCAATTTCAGATCTTTAGGTATTAATGTGTCAGAGAAAATATGCATATCAACATCTTCTATAAAATTCTAACATTGATATACCTGCAAATAATAGGAAGGCTTTTGAAAATTGCTTCTTCTAATACAATCAAATTTTCTATACATTTGAAGTTCATCTATTTTTTAATGAAAAAGTCATTAGACATGATAAGAAAAAACGATGTCCTAAAATTTAAATATTTTGTTCAGTTAGATTTAACAAAAGAATATTCTCTTTAGAATCTATGAGCATCGTCGAATTCCTAATGAAACAATGTTTATTGGTTTATTTCATCGTTGTGAAAATCGACTTATTAATGGTGTTTTAAATACAAATAAAATGTATCTTATTTGTGATGCAAATAAATATTTACCACATAATAAAAATTTATCTTATTTATTACATAAAGTTCAACCAACTGAAGCTCAACGTTTCTGTAATATAGCTGGTAATCCTTATCGTTGTAATTATTCATTAATAAATAAAAGTCTTATATCATGTACAATTATATCAATATTTACACTTAGCTTATCGATTATTTCAATTTATTTACATTTACTTATTAATCAATTTAAATATAAAACTCATCTTGGTATTGCTATTATAACAATATCTCTTTTATTTATTGCTTTTATATGTATTCTTACAACACTTATTTTATTAAGTTCAACAATGTCACATGATTTATTTGAATATCGTTATAATTTAAATTATCGTTTAATTGGACAAAGTATGTTTAGAACAAAAAAAATTGAATTGTTTAAAAAAATAGGATATTTGATTTTTTATTGTTTAGAACGTCAAAATTTAACTAATGATTTTGAACAAAATATTCGACAAATAGCTGCTAGTGATTATGATATTCGTCTTGATTGGTCAGCTGGTTTAGAAATTATTTCATTAATATTATCAAGTTTTACTTTAGTTTCACAAATTCTTTATCTTTTTTCTACATATAGAAATAGAATTGGATGAAAAAAACACACATTTCATTTCTTTTTTCAAGTCGTTTTCAATGTACTTTTTTGCTTTATTCTTTCACATTAGTTTTTTTTCTTGAGATAAATATAAAAATTTGTATTAATTTCCTTGGAGACGATGAAGTGTTGATGCATCAGGTTTCCATACACCAGAATACGATTTACTTGGTCGATTATCTAGATGAGAAAAAGTTTATTTGTATTTTGATATTTTCTAAATTATAATCTCGTTTCTAGACTTCATTATTATAATCTCGAATCTTGTTAATATTGAATATTTATTGTTGCTTACCTGATGAATTTATTTCTTGTTGTCTGCCATGATAACGACGATCATTTTCGTTTTGTGATTCAATCATAACATTAGTGGCAGGTACATCAAGATCTTCATTTAAAAAAGAAAATATAATAAATTGCAAGAAAAGAAATGATTTAATAATGAGAAATTTACTTTCAATATTTTCATGAGTTTGTTGATGACGTTTACCTTGGGATGATGTTTGTTTAGTAAGTAATTTAAGGGCATTTTCAAGACGTGCTTGTTTTGATTGTAATTCATTAATTTGTTTTTTAGATTCTTCTTCTTGACGTGATAATTTATTTTTTAATTCACGAATTTTATGTAATTTTGCATTATCATCTTGATTCAATGATTCTTTTATTTTAATTGGAGGAAGTATTATTTCTTTTCGTTGTTGTTCATCATTTTCATATTCATATTCATTTATGTTTTTTTTATTATCATTATTAATATCATCATCATCATTGAATTGAAGTGATTCAACACGATGTTTTTGTTGATGACTTGATGATGATCGTCCTAATGGTGTTTGCAATTGTTTTGATTGTTTTCTCGTTTTTGCCACTGATATTGATCGAGATCGTTGATGATGATCATCAAGTTGTATTGTATCAATTTGTTCATTATTTTCATCTTCTTGTTGATTTTGATTATTTTCATTAAATGAATTATTTTTATCATTTGATGGTCCTCCATCAAATGACGAATATGAACGTCGATTATAATTTTGATAAGAACGTTTATATGTTGATGTATTTTGTGGTGATGAATTCGAATTATTATTATTTATTAAATTAGTCCATGAATCACCTAAATGATTATCATTTTTTTGTTCTTCATTGATTGATTGTAATGTCGATAAAGGATGATTAAGAGATTCTCTCATGTATTTTTGTGATGCTTGTTTTTCTTCATTTTTTTGTCTAAATCGAAAACATATGAATAAAAAGATTTTTAGTGCAGTCCTATTGAGTCCGAAATGTGGAACTCACATGTGTTCTTTACTTTCATTATACTAATACAAAAAACATGAAATGAAAAATCTTTCGCAGACTATAGTTGTTTTTTAAGGATAATTGATCTCCAGAGAAGCGATCTGTCTTATTCCATAAAGTAAAAGGTTAGAGTCTAAGAACAGAAGTTCATATGTGTCTATCTGCGATAGTGTTATTTGACATAATCAGCTTTCAACAAAGATTCATTACACATCCTCTCTGAGATAATAACAGCAAGAAAATAAATAAGAAGCATAGATAATAATCAGTCTATCGATTAGTCTGAAATTCGTGCCGATATCGAATCTATCTCCGATCTAAGTGTTGGCGTTAATGCCGTTCAATGTCTTTTTCCGTTGCTAAGAAATTTTGAGAAAAAAGTCTGACATTTTTTATCTTCGTTAGCTAAGCTCTGTAATGAGGGGATGGTAGCTGAAAAATTTTCGACATCAAAATTACATTTACTATTTGCTTCGCAAATATATATGAGTTTCCGAAAAATATATCTCTTAAATATAGTTTACTTTTCAACAAAATTTGATAATGCATTAAGGTCAGCCGATTGTTCTGGTTCATTTGATGTACGTTCGGATTCTTTTAACCCTCGAAGTGCAGAATTAATCATTGTACGAGCTTGTTCTTTTTCTTTGAAAATAAAAATAAATATCGATATAATAAATAATATAAAACAAATGAACAAACCAGTTTGTGAAGCTGAAACAAGCCATGATTGAACATCTTCCAAATTACTTGTACCAAGAAGTTGACAGAGTACTTGTAACATCTAATTCATAGAAATCTTGTTAACTATGAGATATTTTAATCAGTATTTTTCTTGATTCTTTATACTTCCAAGATCAATACTGATCCTATTAACTCGTGTATTTTTGAAATCTCATAAAAAACCTAAAGATTTGTCTATTCAACATAAGATTTTAGTTTCATACTCTAAATTTCTTTGTTCTTTTAGGATATTTTCATATGAATTTTACTTATAATATTGATCCGTATGATAAAAATAAAATAATTGGTTTGTCTCTTACCCACATTTCTCTTTCATGTTCAGGTACATTAAATAACATATCTGAATATGGTGTAGCATGTTTAGAACCTGTACGTCCTCGTGATTTTGCAGTTCCTTCATTAAAACGACCTGTTCGAGCTGAATAACGTGCACCAGAACGTGAAGCATGCTGTTGATCAGTTATGGTTGCTGGTCTATTATAATGTTTATGTTCATCTTTCTCAATTCCAAGTCCACTAGCACTTGCTAAAGAAGCCAATTCTTGTCGCCAACGTTCTGTATCTTGAACTTGATAAAAAAAAAACATAATGATGAAAAGAAAAAAACACATTATAAAACTTACTAACGCCATACGTATTCCAAAAACCCATGGGAGGAACTAATCGTTCAGCACGACGTGGAGTTTCAAATAAAGGTAAAATGGGTCTACTAAAACCAAGTGAAGTAGCAGATGTTGAACGAACAACGGACGGATCATCATTAACACTACAAATCAATGCACCATTCAGTCCTTTTTAAAGAAAAAATAAATAAATGATAAAAAAAACAATCATTTTAGGTCTTCCTTCCAAAATACCTTCAATATGTCGTACTCGTTTTGGTTTAGCTGTATTTCGAGTAAAGAACATATTTGATGACAATTTTCCAAAACGTGAACCACTACGAGAAGGTGTTTGTTCGAAAAGTGCCATGTCTAAAAATTAGATGTATATTTTTAAAATAAAAAACAAGTTCATACTTATTAATTATTTCGATTGAAAAAAAAACGTATAGTTTTGTTGTATTCTATTTACTGTTATTAACAACGACAACCAAATGCACTATAGTCGACGTAACGATTCCTTTGGACGCGCAATTGTAAATGTCAACAAAACAAATCGAAAAAGAAAAATCGAAACAATTATAAAAGGAATGTAACAACGTTTATATGATCTCAGTTTTTTTCACTTTCTTTTTCTATCATTTAAATGTTTCGTGTTCAACGGAAGACATCTAATCAAAGTAACATTCACAGGAAACATTTTTTCATATAAAATTGTACTTAAATGCCATACTCAGTTTTACATTTTTTTTAATGATAAAAAAGTGTCATTATTAATCCAAACAAATTCTGTCTGATTCACTCTTTTTCTTTTTTTCTTGCTTAACAATACAAAGAACACAATTGATCAAGGAGAATATTTGAGAGTTTTGTTGTTATTTTCAAATAGTTTGATGTCAACTTGCCTACCAACATCTCATGGCAACATTTACATTGTTCTGTCTTTATTTCACTGCTTGTAACTTTTAGAAAAAAAAGGATGAAGAAAACAAAAAACAAGCATTAAACCATTTATGTGTATGCCCGTGGACAAGCTTCTTTCTTTTGTTCTGTTACAGTCACTATTATTCATAATGATGGATCGGGACATATTCATTTTGTTAAAATAAAACGAAATAATAATCGATATATGACATAATAACAAGAGATAAAGATATGTTTTCAATCTGTCGTTTTTCTTCTTATTATTTCATATGGTGCTTCCGGCTAGTTTCGGCCGGATTAACAACTAGTGCGTAGTAATAGAGTTCTGTCGATTAGAAAAAGCACGAGAGAAAAATATGAGGAAAGAACATTTATGGAAACGAGAGAACTGCCACTGACTGAGCTTGTCAGTTTCGATATGAGATCGATTTACATACAGAGAAGATCAATCCTGAGGGATTTGCTCAGCTTTTTTTCTCTCTCTTTCGCTGTCTATAGACATTTTTTTTGTTTTGACTTATTTGTTCAGTCAAATCAGAATAACGTTATGACTTATTCAACTAAGTCACTTATTATTTTACAAGAAATTTTATTCCTATTACTAAGTATATTTTTACGATCTCCATATGTCAATACGAATGAAGTTGAACTTCGAAAATTATTATTTCATGAAAGACCATACGATCGAACAGTTTGTCCGGAAGCAGGCATCACTAGAGTTCATACAAATTTAATTTTACTTCAAATTGAAAGTGTTGATGAAAAAGCACAGGTTTGAGTGTTTGTCTTTTTTTTTTCAATAGCTCAATGATTGCCATATAAATTAATACAGGTAGTGACAAGTAATGTTCAATTGATATGTGCTTGGTGCGATCCATTCATGTCATGGAATGCTAGTCGTTATAATATAACAGAACTTTCTGTTGGTTCGAATTATTTATGGACACCAGATGTTGTTCTAGTCAATTCAGCCGATGGAAAATATTCACGAAATAGAGAACATTATGCATTGATTCTTCGACATGATGGTACGTTTTAAAGATTTTCTTTGTCAAGAAAAATATTTAAAAAATTTTGTTTTTTTTTAAATTTTACTCTTATTTTGCAGTTTTAAAACTACTAGGTAATTTTTAGTCATCTTTAGTTTAGATTATACGATTTTACATACTCTTTTGTGAACCTCTGAAGCCAAGTTATGATCATTTTACTAAAGTTTTGATTTCGCTTTAGGTATTTACTGAAAAATCAAATAACGATATTTCAATCTGAAACTTTTCTCATAAATAAGTCTGATGATTCTGTGAAAAGAAGAGTAATTATTTGTTATGAGTTTTTCTTAATAACACAACTAGATTTCATTTTAATAATGTTTCAAAGTTTCGAACTTACGATGATAAAAATTTTAGTACATATCTAGATAGGGCAACAGAATATCCGAGATAATACTAAAAACCCATTCTAGAGTGACATCGAACATACAGTACTGGTAAAAAATATAAGACTAACGTCTTTTTTATTTTTTTCTACATTATGATGCATTTAACTGAAATCCAAATAATGGTTTGAATAGTTAATGAAATACTCTATTAAATGCATTTTATACTAACATTTTATAGATGAACTATGAGAAGAAGATTTTAGAAAAATCAAACACAGTAGGTTTTAAGTCCGAGAATATTATATAAAAATTAGTAAGAGTACCATCTTAAAGAATACAAAATGCTGAAAAAATGCAGGTTTTGCCACACTCTCCTCTATGCTTTTCTACAAATATTATGAGCATCACAAAAAAAACACGTTTGCTAGCTGTTTTTCAGTAATGCTATGATAAATTTCGCTTCTTTTCATTGTTTTGTGATGCTTTTAACTTTTTAAGGTAACTTCATAGAAAAATGTGGCAAGACCTCATATTACTCAGAATTTTGTTACTAGTTTTTATAAAATCTATTTGGAATTGAAAATTACCGTGTTTGACTTTTCAAAGACTTTCTTGTCATAGTTCATGTAAGGAAGTCCAGTATGAAATGTATTTAATAGAAGATTTCAATGGCTATTTAAACCACATTTTGGCGTTGATGTAAATGCTTGATATCATAGAACTAAAAACCAAAAATATGTTGGTTTTATATATTTCACCGGTTCTATAAAAAGAATGTTGTAAGATAAGGCATGCATTCTTACAGATTTATCAAAATATGCTGTTAGATTAGCTATCGTTTGCTGAAAAGATTGTTAATCAATTTATGGCGTTCTTCAATAAATTAAACTTCTACAGCAACGTATTTCTTCGGAAAATTATTGTTATCTTATTTTTTTTTTCTAGGATATGTTCGATTTATGTTTCAAGATTTATGGAAAACAATATGTAAAGTTCGTTCTACTTATTTTCCATTCGATCAACAACATTGTACAATAATAATTCGTAGTGGTTCACGTGATGGTCAATCAATAAAATTCATTCAACGACGTCCACTTGTAGGTCGTTCATTTATTCGTGGTGAATGGGAATTAATTAATTCTTATACAGACATAACTGATGAACGTGTATCTGATTTTGGTCAAGTTGATTATAGTCTTGTACGTTTTACATTAATATTAAAACGTAATTATGTACATTATTTTATGAAAATTATTTTACCATTTACACTTGTTTCATTTGTAACATTATTTACATTTTTATTACCACCCCAAACAGGTGAAAAATTAACATTAAATGTAACTATATTATTATCATTAGTTATTTATTTACAATTACTTAGTGGATATATACCAAAATCAGATGATGAAACACCTATATTAACATTATTTTGTAATGCAAATTTTTTTTTAGTTGTTTTATCATGTATTATGACTGTTTATGTTTCATATTTATATCATCGACCATCAACATCAAATATAGCATGTGTACCAACACATATGAAAGTACTTATACTTGATTATTTAAGTCCATTAGTTTATTGTCATGTGAATAAACATTTAAAAAAGCGTCAGCTATTAAAACAAGATATTGAAGAAAAAAGACCAAGACGATTAAGTAGTATTGAAAAACATATGTGTCAGTTGTTCACGGTAACAACGCCAGTCCAACCACCTAATCAACAGGTAATAAATTAAAAAATTGGAATTATTTATTTTTTCTTTTTCCATTATTCATTTCAAGGCTGTTGAATTACTTAACATTTTACATCAAATAAAAACTCATATACGTACACAATGGTTAGGACCACTAAATTCTCATAATGAATATGACGTTTGTAATGAATTCTTAAAAATTGATAATCGAAAACGTTTAGATGAATGGCAACATGTTGCATTAGTACTTGATCGTCTTTTCTTTATATTATTTAGTATAGCTATGCCATGTACTGCTTTATTATTTGTATTTCCACATTCGTCTATTGGAAATAATTTTCGTTCAAATTTAACAAATATTAAAACACAAATAGCTGATGCAAAATGTGATTTAAAGTATACACCAATGATAACATGAAATAATTTATTAATTCTTTATTCGATAAATTTATGCTGTTTAAACTAAAAAAAAAATACTCCATGTAAATTATTTGAAACAATGTTTCAATATGAATATTTTAATAATGAATAAACAGAAATAAATGAGTGGCAATATTTTTTTTTTCTTAATTTAATGCTTTCATTACAGAGTTTCGTATTGTATTTTCATTCAATTTACATGCAATAAATGAGCATATTGATTATTAAAACTGAATTCTAAAGCGTTCTGATCAAGTTGACCGATGTGATCAAAATTGCCGATGTTACTGTGATTAAATCACTTGAAAAAACAATTTTCCCGATTTTTGTATAAAATTGCGATTTCCCATGCGACATTGGAGATGATTGAGCCTAGTTGTAATGCTCGATTCTAGCACTAAGACTGCCTCGACGAGTATACACGGGTTTATTATTATCTTGTTCATGAAAGTGTCTCATGGATGAGAAGAGGCATGGTTTTCTCCTTCCTCAACTGTCATAAGTAATAGACAAACAATAGTTCTGTTGAAGTTTGTTGTAAAATTGCTAATTCATAGTCAGAGCTGAGCAGATTTTGACGATATAGGAAGTCCAGAGTTTCTATTATTGATAAAATAAATCCAATCAGAAATTTTTATGAGCAGATCTTGTTCGATAAAATATTCAAATTTTTCTTCTATGTGCACGACTTGACTTGCAGTTTAAATAATTTTCAGACATAAATTCGCACACATTATTTATATCTTAAATTATCTATCCATACCTCTATAATAATGCACGATTGTCTGTCTGTCTGTCTGTTACGAGGTCAGAGGTCAAAGATCAAGATGGCTATAGTCGGATAAGGTTGTAATGGGGTAAAACATAACATGGTAAGGTTAAGAGGGAGTAAGGCAATAAGGGGATACAGCTATCAAGGGGCAAGGCTATAAAGGAGTAACACAATAAGAGAAG